CCCCGCGTTCGAAGCCCTGCAGGGGCTTGGGTGCTGCAGCAGCAGCAGCAGCAGCTTCAGACTTCACTCCTGCTGCTGCTGCTGCTGCTGCGCCTGGAGGCGACGGCCGAGGGTCGGAGGTTTTCTTTTTCAAAGAAAAAGAAAACTTCTTCGGCGCAGACACTGCGGGCTCCATTTCGAAAGTGCTGCTGCTCTGCTGCTGCTGCAGTCAGTGAAGACTCAACAGGAAACTTGAATGAAACTGCTGCAGCACTTCCTGCATGCATGCAAGCAGCTTCCCGACTCCTCCATCAGTGTCTGCTGCAGTGTATGTACACCTTGTGAAGCTGCCTGGCCGAAAGAAACCAAAGAATTCGCCGCTGCCGAAACCGGAGAAGCAGCAGCAGCAGCCACAATTGCTGCTGCAGAAGCTATTCCGCTTGAGTTCGCGGCAGAAGTCGACGCAGACAATTCAGTTTCAAATCTTAATTCATATTTATTTCGCTGAGAAGTTCAGTCTGCGCGAAACCTCAGTCATCTGCATGCGCTGGGCTCCTTCCAGAACCTCTTTGAACTGCGTTGTTTCTCCGATCAAGCCCAGCTGTTGAAAGTCTCCGAATTTATTTCCGCTCTCATTCAAAAAAAATAAATTGATTAAGCAGTTGCTGCATTTAAAGGCGTTTTGAGCCTCGACGGAAGCCAAACTCTTCGCTGGAAGGCGCCGAAGCTGCAATTTGCATGCATGCGTGGGAGTGATTCGGCTCACACTAAGGCATTGATAGCTAGCACTTACCACATGAAGTTAAATAGAGTTAAAATGAACTTAAATGGAGTAAAACGCCGCATTTACAATAAACTCTGCATGTCTGTGGCTCCTGGCTCGCCCACAGTTTCAAACCAGACAGCCGGATCAAGCTGCTGATTGTCAGCAGGATAAGGGGAAATAAAAACATTCAATAAGGGTTTCTGCACAGGAAATGCACCGCTAAGAGCAACGAAACTGCTAATATCCAGAAAGATAAGGGCAAATGGAGATACTGATCGGGGGTTTCCGCAAAGGGTTTCTTGGAAGCTCGTTCAGCAGCACGCAGAAATCTGGATGTCTGAGCAATACTGCATGAGCTCATACAAAAGTGATTTCATTTAAAAGTGTCTTTTCCAGTAACAAGAAAAGATTGAAAAGACTGGCTCTGATGGCTTCTGCTTCCTGCCAGCTGAGGATTTAGCCCTGGGGAAGTGTCTCAGCGCTTTCAAAGCTTCTTTTGACCATCAAGATCAGCTTCAGAAAGTGAAAACAATTAGTTTTTAAAATTCCAGATAGGCAGCTAGCTGACGTTCATAAGGTGAGATTAGCATTTTGTTTATTTTCCATAAATATGTCAACTCCCTCTCGTAGATTACGTTTTGCTGCAGTGCAGTTTTCTAGAAATTCAAGATGCAGAAATTGCCAATGTTCGAATTCATTACTTTTTAATAATTGTATTTGCAGTGGCTGCGGGGCACTCGGGGGGAGCGCTGATAAGAATTTGTTGAATTCCAGTTTTTCTTTCACCAAATTGCTCCAGTCTGCAACAGCTCGAGTTACTCCAACTCAGATTAGCTTTCTTATTTATTGTTATCTGTGGCTAGGAGGCTCTCTGGCCTCCCCAACTCTTCTTAGAAGCTGAGAAATGATATGCAGTTCCAGCTAAAACACTTTAGTCTTCAAAGCACATGAGGAACTTCAGTTTAGGAACTTCCTCTTCCAAGTCCTCGAGCGACCGTGTGTGTCAGTGGCTCCACAGGCAAGTGCTCAAGGCATTTCAAATTGACTTAGTCATTCTTGTTTTGTTTATTTCACAGTCTCTAGCTCAGGAGAATGTTGGGAGAATGAATTTCCCAAGTTCAGACTTACACGACTAGTAGAATAATCTGTCGCTGCTGCAGCCAGCGCTACAGACTCTCCAAACAAAGAAGAATAGCTAGCTGGACTGCTCCAGGCTCTTTCCAGCTAGCTGAACTACTGCAGACTCACAAAGCGGAAAAAGCTGGCTAGCTGAGCTGCCTGGCTCGAACTGTAGCAGGCTGAGGTCTCATTCAGTGAGGCTGCAGCCTTGTGTAGTCTACAGGACAGAAAGTGCAGAAATTAGCTCATTCAAACAACGTAGCTCCTCCTTTTGAGCTATCTATTTGCTACACAGAACATGTTGTTTCGAAGGAAAACCCTGGAAATGCGAAGACGAAAAAGAAGCCACAAAAGAAAAAAAGCCTTTTTCTTAGACCTGCGCGGCCTCAGCGCCTTCAGAAGCACCAATGGCGCTGAGACGGAGAGCAACAAAAGCTCCAAAAGCTCAGAGGCATATGTAACATAATAAGCAGCTTCTTGTTGCAGCTGCTGCAGCGGCTTGTGCGGCACCTGGCAGCTCCCTTTGAACCTAACTAAATGCTGCAACGGCGAGCTGGCAGTGGGTAAAAGCGAGTGAGCAAAATAAATCTTGAAAGCGTCTAAGAGTCCATGCAGTAAGCGCCTTAGCTCCTATTTCCCAAATTTGTCCTGAAGTCACTACACGAGTGGCTACAGAGCTTTTGTCAAGACTTCCCTACGGAAAGCTGCATGCGCATCTACAACTTCCGATCCAGCAGTGAACACAGGCTAGTGAACACAGGCTATCAAGTGCATCTGCGAACAGCTCATAATGCAGAATACGCAAATTGGACAAAATTGACAAAGAGTTCAGCACAATAGCCAGGCTCAGCCTTCCGCGGCTCCCCGTGAAGCTGCCGAAGGGTTATGAACGTGAGCAGGAATTGCCTGCTGCTTCTGGCCCGCCACCGCTGTTCCCAAGAACCAAGTGCCAATTCTTAAAACATGTCGAGGTGGCAGGGGTTTTGTTCCAGAAGTGCCCACAGTTCTTTTGTCTGTGCAGCTCTTTTGGCAACAGCACTCACCTCTTGGGCTCCGACCTCGCCCAGGGGCTACGTAAAAAGTCCTCTTGACATGCATGCGTAGTTGCCATAAAAACAAATTATAACATCACCTTCTGCACTTCAGCTGCCCCGCTGACCCTTACCAGCCTTCTACCGGCGCTTCCCTGTCAACGTCTTGCGAAGCTTCTTGCAAAGCTCCTTGTGAGGCTTCTTGCAAAATTTCTTGCGAAGCTTCTCGCGATGCTTCACTGCCGGCCAAGCGGCCTTCGGAAGGGCTAGTGGGTGCTCCGGCAGACTGCTGTGTCACAAGTGGCGTGCGCTCCTCCCTGGCTTTCTGTTCCTTGAGCTGCTGCAGCTCAAGGCTAATTGTGGCGTATCTGCCTCTCAGCCCCATTAGCTTCTGCAGATCTATGCTGTACTGCAGCGACAAGTAAGCAACGGCCACGCCGGCTAGTGCGCCTAAACAAAGGGATCCTATTATGAACAACATGCCGTGCTCGGCATCCGTGTCATCTCCCTCGGCTGCTCACAACAACAAAGCACACACACAAAGACAGTGAGAAATATAGGAAATATTATGCACATCAACGAAGCACACCCAAAAAATGTAAGAGATATTACGCCGGCAAGCTCGTAAAAGCATTTCATCTTTCTTTCTTGGAGGCAACCTCTCCAGAAAACGTCAGTGGCGTCGACGGATCTCCACATGCAGCGCAAACAACGAACGAGAGTTTCTCACCTGCACAAAACATGTACTTTTCGCTGGCGCAGTAGGCTTCCTTCTCTTCAATAGAAGAAAGCGTGTTAATTGTCGTGGTGCTGATGAAGCCTCGGTGAACGCAGCTGAATTCATGAAAGTGCCTCATGCCGATGATAAGGCCAGATTTCGCGGCGCAGAGCACGTAAACAGAATCTACCCAGTTTTGCCGAGACATTGCAGCCTCGTTTTGGTAGCAAGGGCGATAGCCAACAGGGCAGGAACACGAGTCTATCTGAAAAAAGGGTACATTCAGGCGGCGGAAAGGATAATTGTTTCCCTCTTACGGTGCATTCAAGATTGAGCTCCCATGCTAGGCCTTCTAAATTGTGAAGTTGAACTCACCGACTCGTCATACGCGCTAGCTTCGCTCGATGCCTCCACAGACAGGATTACACACTGCTGAGGGGTCATGTCCAGAGGGATTTTATCTGGGTAAGTTGGTAAGGGTGTCGTGGAAGATGTTTCTGAAGTGAAAATTTCAATTTTTGGTGGCGCTTTCGTCGTGAACATCACATATTCCGGGCTGGTGCCTCCTGTGGTGGGATCTGCAAAAGCCCAACACCAAAAGGACAAAATTCCAATCCCCAGTGGTAAGGAAAGCTTGCAGAAACGATCACTAAATAACCCGTAATCGACCGAATGGGGCCCAAAATGCGCCAATTGTTGCTGCAGGGGCCTATGGAGCTCCATTCTCTCTGCCATCAGCGGCTCTGCAAAGAGCCCTTCTGTACTCTTTGGTACGCGTACCACAAAGTGGTATATCCGCACAAATGCCCGTTTCTACAGTCGCTGCGTGGAAAAACAAACACAATTCCGATGAAGATTCGTGCCTTTTCAGCTCGAGTGTTCGCTAAAACGGCTGCAAAGACTCATCAATCCAAGCAACTGCATTTCTGAGCAGTGCTTGTGCCAGGCAGGTTCCGTGGCATTCTAGTAGTATGACTTCTGTGTTGAACAAGGGCTCACTATAGGGCGTAAACTCTCCACCCCTGGGGACCTTGTGGCCTTCTTCCATAACTTCGCGGGTCCTTATTCGCACAGAAGAGCCGATTTCCGAAACACTTGAAAAACAGCTGCACCAAAAGCACACAGCCCTTTGAGCCTTGATTCCCTATAAGCTCGGGACAGAAATAGATGTACGATAAGATCTGGACAATCGAAAGGCTTTTGAAGAAGATGCCACACCATCGTTTTCTCCCAAGGGCGTGTGGGACATTCCCCCGCAACTCAAGGCTACGCTGTACGCTTCAAGACAGCGACCCTCAACAAGTGTTTCGTACCTCAGTGAACAGCTTGACCATTCGCTCCACTCCGTGAGCAGCAAATGTGCCTCTTTTTCTGTCAATGCCAGCACACGCACGCTCTCACACAAAATGGCTGTAGTGCTGCAGAAGAGGGAGCCAGGGAATTTGCCAGCACCCTTTTTGAATTATCATACCTTTGCAGAAAATTACACCCCTTCCACCGGCGGTGCCTGCAGCGCAGTTGAAATGAAATAACAAGAAAATAGCATCGACACGTCGCCCACCAGCCCACAAGAATGCGCGCATGCTGGCTCTACCGTGTTTCCGTACTTGGCGCGAATGTGCATTTTTCAGCGAATTCTCCACTTTGAAACGGCTCAATGAAACATTCTCGGTAAGAATCTCCTCGCTTGTCCGCATTGCAAGTGTTCTTCAAGTCCGTGCACAACTCCTTGCATTTTGCAGTTTCTTCCTCAGACGGACTCATCCCAGAGGGCGCGTTGGCAATAGCTCTCGAGCAATCAGGAACCGCTGCATCGTTTGTAGCAAGCAAATCCACTGACAAAATGTTTGGAGTGCTAAAATGTGTTAACAGTTAGCGAGGCAGACCAAGAGCACTGACATAAATGCAGCATTCGTCTCTCCGTATAATCGCATTTCATCATTGCTTTCAGTACCCAGTTATCCTGTGCTTTTGAATTAACTCAAGGTGCGCCGTGACCACTTACACATGAGCGAGCTATTCGCATCCTTCCAGGAGTCTAGGCCGTTTTTGCAGTAGTCATTAAGGGCACTGGTACTCGGGAACTCAGTGAACGTGAAGTACTCCTCAATGCCAGTCGAATCTTTCTTGTATCCCCGCAGGGGGCAATGAATTCTGCCCATGCCAGCGTACGCGAAGTACACACTAGAATCTGGTAGCTTACTGCTTTCATCATGAGCCCAGAGCGGTGTGCGCGCTGCTTCTGTTGAACATAACCCGTCGGAGGCTAACAGTATTCCCCTAATGCCTCTCCAGTCTTCCACGATATCGTCTGCTGTGCAAGGCACCATGCTGTGTTCCAAACAAGCGCAGCTGGGAGCAACGAAGCCCCCCTCAGCGGGAGACTGTGTTGGGGTTTCTTCATTAGAAGCCTCAGCGGGAGACTGTGTTGGGGTTTCTTCATTAGAAGTCTCTTTTAGGAAACTGAGAACGGCATCTTGGTTGACCAGTCTCGTCAGGATTGGCCTGCAAGTCGCGGGTGGAGCTGCGAACAGAGCAACGAGTTTGAAACAAGTCGAAGCAGCTCCTCGCGTCACATCTTTGAAGATGACACAGGCGCTGAATCCAAGCAAAGGTTTCGCCGAGGCATTTCAGGGGCAAAATTGCTCGGTGCACAGCCTAACTTGGCCTAGCCCATGGTTGTTAGGCCGGAGGCAGCTTGGTCTTACAGATACGCTGGTCTTCTTTCAATCTACAAGTGAGGTAGAAGCCATTGTCAGACAGTCCTTTCGTGACACAACCACGAAAGGGTACTAACAAGGCATCAAGGGAAGCAAGGTTTCTGCATTTTTCCTCCGTCGTTCTGCACCTATCGATGCACGCCCTTCGCGAAGCGGAGTCCTCATAAATTGACACGACTTCGGAGCAGTCTAAATGAGAAAACAAATACGAGCAAAAGAGAGCACGCCAAGAAGCCCGTAAAGATATGCAAACGGCGAGCAAGCGCGCAAGTCAAGCTACAGACTTACCAAGGTCAAAACTTCTACAATTCTCAAGACCGTCCGCGCTGGAACAAGATCTTGTGGGGCTAGTTCCGCTTGTAATGGCTGTGAAAGCCAGCACACACACATTATTCCCTGGGAGCATGCCCGAAGTCTCCACAAGTCTATGCCATTTCGGCCAGTCATTCTAGGCGCATGCAGCTCATGCAGTGTAGTATCAGCACGACCAACCTAAAAATGCTCCCGTATCGGTGTTTCGGGCGAGCCTCCTCTGCAGCGCAGTATGGCCCTCTGGCAGTATGCATCTGAACCATATAGAAGCATGCACTCAAACAAATAGAAACAGGAATAGCTTCCAAATTGTACCAGTCACCCCTCTATGCTCCTGCCTTCTCAGTCCTCTTTTGCCATCATAATATACGTGGAGTGCCACGTACAAGCGGCAAACATATAAGCTCAAAATATGCTTACGGAACATCACATCCTGACCAGTTTGACACTATTGTGGCCGCTGTAGTGTTTGAAGCGAACGAGAGCAATTCAGCAAATTCAGCGTTTGGGGCTGATTCTTCTTCCGCTTCTTTTTCCTCTTCCTTTTGCGCACCAGGGACCTTCCATTGCGGCCCTATAGCAAGAAACAGCTTAACAAGAAACCGAATAATCTATTGTGACATGCTGAACGGGCAGAAGCCTGACATATCTGTAGCCAACTTTGAGTTCGCAGATGCTGCGTTGCGTCATGTTGCCTATTTGGCTATTTGTGTGTCCGTGGCAGCTCCACTGGCCTATTACCTTTTCTGCATAGCTGGAACTCCTGTGTTTCATCTTCTCTGCAATATACTGCGCCCGCGAAGATCGGTTTGTACCGCCTCTTGGCAATGACCACCTCGTCGTTACGTAAGTAGGAGGCGCAGCCACTCCACTCGGTCCACTCGGCTGTCCAGCAGTAGCCTACGCATAGCTGGAGAGAATCTCCACAGCCCTCCGTCTCCTCCAAAATGCAATCAGGATCTTTATCAATGACTTCCGCAGCTATTGCACTGCGTTTCCTGTACCGCCGTGGAAAGTTGTGGGACCCTAAGCAAGTTGCGCTGCAAGCGGACCACTCTCCCCATTCTCCTGGAAAGCAAGAAGGGGGTACATGGTGAACAACTTCCAGCGACTGTTCCTCGACCCCTTCCGCATCGGCAGCATTCGCTGCACAGCAGCATCAGGAAAAAAGCGCACACTGACTAGTTTCACGCTTGACACTGAAATCGCAACGTAAAGACAAGCGTGCTCACTTCAAGACTGCCATTTAATGGCGCTCTTGACGTGAGCACGCCTGCCTATAAGTAGCAACTCCACCTCTCACACTAACTCATGCAGATTTCCTTCTTGACGTGAGTACGTCTGCCTATAAGTAGCAACTCCACCTCTTGCACAAACTCATGCAGATTTCCTTACATGGGCAAAGGACATAAGGAGTAACGTGCTGACACAGATATGTGCCACTGTACGCCTGTTCTCCAGTGCCTGCTCCAGGGAGATCTGGGTAAGCTGGAAAGGCTCGTTGGCGCCAGTGTAAAAAAGAACTATGAATGACAGTGATGGAGCATGCATTTATGGAAAGTTGACGGAACATCTGCGTGACGGGCTTAATTGGTTCTTGGGAAGTTTCACAGAGTCCCCCTTCTCCCTGCAACTCCTTCAGCCAAGTCATGTCATGGGCTGCATCTTCTGTGGTGCAGGGCATCGCGAGCCCTGGGCATCTGCATGTGAACGAGGCCGAGTCCCACGCCAAATTTGCAGGGTAATTGCGCATATCGAAAACGCGACACTTTCCTGAACTCGAGCCCGCAGTTGTGCCTGCGCAGTAGCCGACCCACAGCGGCAATACACATATGCGAACTAAAATGATCCGAAAGTAATTAAGTCTTATCTCGCATTATCTCGATTCGAAAGTAATTAAGTCTTATCTCGTCCCCTAAAGCCAATAAGCAGTTCTTTCCTACCTTCCCCAGAATCCGTGTTTGCCGAATCGGCCCCAGATGAATTTTTATCGCCTGTGAAAAAGCAGCGAAAGTGGAGTACTGAGAGCTGCCCATGAAAGACTGCACGAGGCGCTCAGCGCTTAAATCTTGTGCGAGCTATTGACGAGATATGGAGGCTCGCTCTCTCAAAAGGCTCGCAGAATTCGAAGAGTCGCAACGAAGAATACAGAAAGGTAAAGATATCAGGAACTCTGACGTCAGCACAAGAATTTTGTCTCATCCTCCACCTCAACTACAATGCGCAGTTACCAACTGCGGAAGCAGCACGAAATGTTTGGTGCACAGCAGCAGCATCAGCTTCCTACTCGGCGAGTTGCATTCATTCCTGAAGTCCTGGGGGAGCAGATAATTCAGGCATTGTAAGGGACTTGTTGAGGACCAACAATATAAAAAATATATTCCAGAGCACAGTTGCGAGCACTCCTCATCGGTTCGTGAACTGCCCTGTGTTCAAACGAATCCGCATCGTCCACTCAAAAATGATGTGGCACCTGACACCTTCTACTCAGCTGTGGCCTAATAATATGCAGAAAAGGTCCCAGTGCTGGGCTTCAGAGCCTACTTACCGAAACAGCTGTGACGTTGCATATTCTGCTTGAGACTGAACCACACAAGACAAAGGGCGTAAGCGACGAGAAAGAAATATGAATCAGGTCTCTTATACAGACAATGGAAAGTCATCTTCGCGAACCAGCAAAGGTGCTCTAAACTGCCACAGCCGCACTTACAGGACGATTTGTTCATCTGCGCAACTGAAAACGCACAACACAAGGTAAGAACTCTAACTGCGCAGTTAACTATTGCCGAATGTCGAAGAGCCGCAGTGTTGCTATAGAAAAAAGGCAAATTCGCAGCTTCACTGGTCTTTGAACTAAGAAAAACTACCAATTTGACTTATGTGCCCTTCAAGTTGCATGGGCGCCGAAAATCTCCTGGCACCTTATATAGTGAATCCTTACCAGCGGCGAAGTACAGGGCCGTAAAATGTACTTCACTGTTTGATAACCTCCTGAGAACGTCTTCCGCCAAAGAGCAAGTTGACACCCAGACTGAAGGGACCCAACCTAAGCCGTCTTCTCTCGAATGCCACTGCACAGAATAGAATTCATCCTTTCCCGGCCCCTCTCCGGCGATTTGAGGGAATATATGGGGAAAAAAGAACGTGGGCAAGTTTTGGGGAAACCTGACATCCTCCCTGTCGACTTCTCTCGTGCTAAAAATCTGCACAAAGCAATCACATACGGCCATTCCTTTAATTCTTTGGTGTGGATTTCCGACGTGGCACGCCCCTTCTGCAATTTAGCTACATACTGAACTACAATGAGGAACGCAAAGATGGCATGCACCATACATGACTAGCTTAGTTATTAACTGTAGGGATTCCGCTGCTCCACCCTGTTGAGCTCACAGCCAAAGAGCGCCCTCCTAGCGACGCAGTGAGCGGGCTGGTTGTTGAAGAACTCTCATCGGATAGATTAGCAATCAAGTAGCCCACAGTTATCGAGGTGAAAGGCTCCAGGCACGCAAGCCGAATTTTGAGGGCATTATTCTTCTTCTCGACTATGCGAAATGCAGCTGAAGCTGCAATCGTGCTAGGTGATTGCCCCACAGCGGACTGCACCTCCAAAAGAACAACTGCCTGAGCGCCCACAAATGGAATTCCACTGCAGTCGCCCCAATGTTCTCCACAAAGAATACGGCAAATTACTCGTCTAGTAGCCTCACAACCTCTGAAAGGGCCTCAGGCAAGTCGAGCTTTATCTCCCAAGGAGGTGCTTATCCGAGAGAGAATACGAATCCTTACCTTTGCAAAATCATTAATAAGAAACGGGGTACGAAGCAGGAACTCCCCAGTAGCAGTCACATCAGTGGTGCCAACAACCAGTCGAATAGGAGAATGTTTTGCACGGTACTGGCCTGGGGGTATAGCTAAGTAGCTGGCAACAACTTTGAGCTCGGCCGATGCTTGAGAAGCCGGCTCTGAGGGCAAGTGGCAAACGCACGTTTAGTCGCTCACCCAGGAAGCGTGAGCTCCCTTCATAGAAGAAACCTCAAAGGAGCTCATCAAGCGGAAGTGGGTTAAAAGTAGCTGAGCAGCAAAAAGGTGTTGGCGTACCTCTGCACGAAGCCCCGAATGCCTGTACTCTAAAGCTTTCGTTTGTAACCTGCGAGATAAGCAGCCGAGGTATGCCGGCTACGGAGTGGGGTGCCCCTGTAAAGATGATCGGTTCCGGATATATTGGCTTCGAAAACTGAACAGTGCTTTCATTGCCGCTGGCCAGCATCCAGGACACAGCCATGTTGGCCGCTGCACCGCGCAGATCGCATGCAAGAAGGCTGAACTGAAGATGCATGAACTGAGAATTCCAAACCTGGCAACGCAGTACAGACAGTGGACTGTAAAACGTGACGAATTCTAACCTCCAGCCGTCGGTGTTTGAGGAGCTGAAAGAAAACAGAGCACAGCAGTGACGGATGTTTTAAGGTTTACTTTGCCATTTAGAATGCCAAAGTGTGCCAGAAGAGGCGTCTTAGGAGTTTGGTGACGGGCTGGCTAAGACAAACAGCCAGTGCTCACTTGTCTGGACATCGCAGTGCTCCAGAATGGTGCCAAGCCTCAGCTTTCGATAACAGTGCATGAGATCCTTGTACAATGTTGGGTTGTCCGCCATATGGGTGCGGCACTGCCACTCAATATGGCCGCAGACGTAAGTGCACTGAAAGGTGCTGGCTTTTGTGGAATCTTTCGATGAGGCTGTACTGCAGTCCGGTGCCAACACGCCTGTAATTGGAATCAAATAATATTCTCAAGAAATATATTTGAACACAAGGACAACGGCTATTTTTCTTTGTAGCGACTGAGAGCTCACCACTTCGTTGGGATGTCATTCTCGCGTCCGAACCTGAGCAGGTTCAGGCAGATTACAGTACTGCAAAGCATGCTAAAAGAGCAGACCAACATACCGCGCCGTGCCGCCTTTGACTCTATTGGCTAGACATGTAGTGAGCTCCGGAGCAGCTCACCTAAACAAAAAACTCCTTTGATCCACGTATTATCTCCGCATTTGCCATTCTGCGGCCCAGCTTCATAGTGCCAGGACGGCGGTGTCGACATCCAGAGAGCACGGTTGTGTTTTGCAACGATGACTCCGCCTTCACCCCCCCAGTACTGTGACAAAGTAGACTTCCACGCATATGCAGTGGCTTGAGCCTCCGCTGGTGTGCAGGGCCCCAATGCGGAGCCCGTGCAAGTGCAGCTGCCAGTGTGTGGATCTTCAGGACCTGGTGACTGAATATAGCACGCGACCGCGTTGCTGTTCGGGATGTAGCAATCCTGGATCGCGTTAGCAACACACAGCCAAGGGTTCATGACTGAGGAACAGTCTCCAGCGATCTTTCTTATGCAAGCTTCTCTGCACGTCCAGTCATCCGCTTCTGTAGCTCCCCCAATCGTTGAAAATGCCCTTTGACACAACGGCCCTGCAAGTAACACCCGTTGAAGCCGCAGCGGCCAAACTTACCCTTCTACGCTAGAGGTATCATGCACAACATGCAATACATGTCCCACAACGAGCAATGAGAGAGACGGCGAAGGCAGCGCGATAGAAGGCCGATGGAGGAGTCCAGAAAACTGGGGAAAATGGCGGGTTGTAAACTGAGCTGGGAACGGGCCAATGCAACGCATAGTGTCTTACGTCTAACCGGCAACTTGTTAGTTAAAGGGTCCTCGACAGCATCTGCAACATCACGAACAAATCTATACGGGCTGATGAAACAGCTTGTTGAAGGAACACAAGCTCTAAATGTGCTGTGCCGATTAATGGCGGTGCTGCGATGCGACAAAGGAATGCCCAGCGATTCACATAAACTATGCTTAGGGGCTTCACAATTCGAGCAGCCTTCTTCGTTCAAATAAATGTAGGTTTCGCCTCACCTTGACACAGCACATGCGTAGTCGGCGACTTCTCGCACACCGGGTTTAAGTCATCTAATATAACCAAAGACCCTGTCCCGGAATCCTGAGTCTTGTAAACAAGGAAGCCGCTCAGGCTGATAGTTGTGCCTTTCGGAGCACTCTGAATCCAGCCCTGACTCACAGCTGCAGCGTTCGCCGAACAAGGTTTGGCGCTGTTCGGGCACGCGCATGCGTCACCCTGCGCATCCTTCTCTCCTGTTGTCCTGTATATGTTGCAGATAATCGAGATGGAGTCCGACGAAATAGAAAGGTCTGGAAAACTCAAACACGTAAAATTAAGCTGCCACTATAGTGTTACAGACACCGACGGGTTTCGGAATACAAACTGCTCGGAATAACATTTTCCCGCATCTTATGAGGGACGCAACGGCGAAAGAAACTGGTAGTGGCTTACTCGGAGCACAATTCCAAGCCATGTAGTATGCTACTTTGTCTTCAGGGCAGTTGTGCAGGGCATTTGTTATTCCAGCTAGCGATATTTTCTCGCTGTTTGTTTGCCCGTTGAAGATAGAATTAGGCAGCAAACTCTTGACACTTTGCGTGATGTCAGTTATAGGGCAGCTACTAAACTTCCTGCCGTAGTTAAGTGTTTCCTCATGCCCGCCGACAACTTTCACCAGTGTCCACCGCTCGTACTCTGTGCAGTTATGTTCAATTTCCAGTTCGGCCCCGTCATTGTTCTTCAATATTTTGGAAAACTCTGGAAAGGCACGACATTCAAACGCATAAAGAAGCCAAAATGAAGGTTTTACAGAGAGGGTGAGTGAGCTGCTATTACTATGGCTGCATAGGCAAGTTGTTCCCGCCTTGGACGCTCCCCTTTAAAGACTGACCAAACTGAGATTTTTCTTCATATTCCCATCGCTTTTCTGCAAAACACAACCCAGGAAAATATTACGCATCGAGCGGCAACAGGAGAAAATCTACCAGGGTGGTACGCTGCTAAGACTATTTCCCGTAGCCAGATCTAGTCAAGTCCAAGACGCCTTGGCAGACGTTGGTGGTTCTCTTTGAGCCCGAAAATCTGTTAAATCATTCTGAAGTGGGGCTCGTGAGAAGTATAAGGGAAACTAACCGAAAGTGCACGCCTGAGCCCGTGCAATCGCTGATGCATCAAGAGACGGAAGTTTGGTGAAGTCGTAGCTCTTCCAAAAACTTTCGAATTGATCGTAGGAATTGAGTGCCGAGAATCTCGAGTAGAATAACCTCCAAAGAGTGACGCAAGGCAGCCTACAAAACGGCTGGTCGTTACCCTTGTAACAGTTGGGCCCCATATTTCCTGCATTAAAAAAATACAGAGGGGTCCACAGCTATAAATCACCAAAAAATCACAAGTGAATGCAAGCTTCCAGATTACATAGATTAGTGGGCCTCGAACTTTAGTGAGAATCCAAGCGAACCCAAAAACTCCTCAGGGGCTGTTGTAGTTGTTGTAGTTGTCGTTGTCTGTGCGGTATCTACATCAAAACGGAACATAGCAAGAGAAAGCATATCGAACGCAAAACAAACATTTGAGGATCCGTGCAGAGCTAACCGCATCATTCACGTATAAAGGTGTGTCAAACAAAGCAAAATTACTCCAAAATGTGAATATCCGAAGAGACCCAATGACACACGCCTGGCCTGTGAAGATCGCCGCTGCCCCACAATATACTTACTTCTGCAAAGAGCCCGAACAAACTTATATTCACATGGATTTGAAGAAAGGTCGAAGGCTTGGTATATATCCCCATAAGCGATGTAACGAATTGAATCTTTCATGTAGACTTGTGCCTTGGACCTGAGGCCATCTTTCCACGACTCCTTGGCTTTCGCTTCTTGTACAGTACAAGGTACACTGCCACTAGGGCACTCGCAGGAGTTTTCCGAGTAGTTCCATGAAGTTGTTCTCTTCGCCTCGCATGCAGGAAGCGGGCTCGCTGACGGACATGAACCACAGTGATAAGGAAAGCTGTGCAACGTTGATAAAAGCTACAGGATTTCAAAATATTCCTGCAGTGGAGCTGATGCGTGAGGTGGATGCTTCTGCCTACAGCACCAACACAGTTGGGGCGTGCGGGAATTCAGCAGCGTACGTGGGACACAAACATAGAAAAAGCTATACAGGTAGTCGTCGGATGGAGGCGAAGAGCACAAGTCAGAAAGCGCAGGCTCCTCTGGCAGATCCTGGAACTCCAATTCGCAGAAAAGCCTGTTGTTTGTCTCCTTGTCTCTTTCGCAAGCCGCAGCTACCTCGACGCCTTGAGAGTATAGCATGCAGTTGTTGTCTCCGACATACGCAGTTGGGTGGCCGGTGAGGAAATCCACAACTCGGAGCTCTTTGTCCTTGCAAAGCGCCTCGCCACCAAAAATTGAGCTTGAAAGCAGTTCGTCGAGTGCGTACTCTTGGTATCCGTCTGCAAACAAGTTGAAAGATTTGAAAATAAAATTTATTTTTAAAAAATGAAAATAGACAAGGATAGATATATTAAGAATAGATAATTGAGAGATAAATAGCAAATAAATAAAAGGATAAATGGAGTGATAAATAAATAAAAGCATAAATTAATTCAGAGATAAACAAATAAAGAGAAAAAGATTAACAAATAGGGAAACAAATTTGCGGCGGCTAATGCGCTGTATGTCATATCCGAGCGAGCAGCCTTAAGAAGCACTCGGCGCACACAGAAATGCCAGCTTTACTGCAAGAGTTGATACGGAACTGCAGCTTCTAGCTGATCTTAAATTGACTACAGCGAGTTATTCTGCAAATCACCGTATTGCTCTATAGGGGCAAAGCTTGGGCGGGTGCCTGAAAGATGGGACACGAACATGCAGTTGCCTGAGGAGTTTCATCCACCTAACTCTCACGGAGGATTCTGTAAAGCCGATTCTACTGAAATCTGAGGGCCAAGCAAGCTTGCAGGTAACTTTAATTCACGCTGGAACCAACACTATCGGCCCCACAGCGGTCTGTAACCCGAAAGTATAAGCGATTTGGGCGCCAAGTAGCAGATGTGGCTGCGCACCGAAAGAGCAATCGTTCTGGAGTTTGGTGTATATGGATACTTCTACTTGAGGCTTGTCTCCCAGGCGGCTGCTCTCCCAAAACTCGGTGAAGCAACGCATTGGGCTGCTGCATGGAAGGAAAAGCCTAGTAGCCTCTTCGTTCCACACCTCCTCGCAAACAAAACTGCACTGCTCCTCAATGGTTGAAGTGCGTTCAAACTTGCACTGAGGACCGCCATTTTCATGATCTGCCGCAGAGCGTACTGGAGGAAAGGGCACAGCAGCACGCGTTCACAATCAGTTCGTCAGTGTCGGAGGCAAAAACGGCGCCCACTAGTCTGTGCGGTCTTGCCTCAGATTTACCACAACACCACAGAGTTTTACTGAACTAAATAAAAAAAAGACCACTATCTACAGCTTGCAAACATTGGGGGGCATGCTTACCCCTGCGAGAGTCAATAGGAGGAGCAGACACTTGAGCAGGAACACCAAGAAACAGAACAGCAAGTCCGGAGACTAGCAGAAGTAAATTTTTTGTTGCCATTGTAAAGCCGCTGCATTATTACCCAAATAAACTGGGCCACCTCCCACAGTACTGCCAGGTCCATAAACCCAATACAGGGTCATCGACTTCTACTATCCCTGGTGTTAAGAGCAGGAATATGGGCCAACTTCAGCTCATTAAATAAAAGCCAGTCTGTTGGGAGTTGCTGGAGCAGTTTCTCGTGGGGAAGCTTGCAGAGCCATCCCTCAAATACGGCAGATACGCACCCGCCACTGCCGACTAGCCAGAGGCAAGAGTTACGCAACGGAAGGTGGTCAGGTTCCAGAGCCACCCCATGTAGTCTCCCTACACGTACGAATTTAGTGAATATATATCATTTTTCTCTTGGAAAAATGACATATTCTGTGTAAAGTCACAGGGCTGTCTTTGCATGGATCGTCTGCGCGTGTTGTTTTTGCGTTGCGAAGGTGAGCGTCCTGGTCACCGTGCAGCCCTAGGTGTCTGCTCCACTATGACTGTCGCGGAGATATAGACAGTACGCAGAATATCTTTATTTCAAATATAGGGTTTTTCCAATTTTGATCTTAGATTTGTCTTCACCAGGTGGCGAGGGAGAGTACCGCACACATTATTCCAGTGGTCTGAGTCTTCTGTAGGGGCTTTCGTGGACCATTATGCGGCCGTTTTTTCATTTTGTACATTATAATAGAGGGGAAGGAGTGAATTCTGTTGAGACATCGCTAGCTTGCACTACGAAGCTCCGTCGGTAGAGGCATCCCACGAAAATCTGTGCTTGCTGCCTGAGGTTACCACAGGCGCCGAAGAGTTAAGAATATGGTGAGTAACAGAATCTACCCAGTAGAGCAACCTTCTTCGAAACTGCGAATACAAAATAGTTTGTGTGATTTTTACTTGCACAATGCTTCTGCAAAAATTTTCGACTACTAAGAAGCTTCCCGGCCTCGCGTTGCTGCTGTACTTTACAGGCCGCTCATCCGCCCACCTGAGGTACATTTTAAAGCCAATATTAATGTCTTCAGCAGTTGTAGCTGCGACCCCTAAATTCGAGCAGTATATATGTATCTGCAGGAGTCCTGTTAAGCCGTAGGCCCCAAATAGTTTGTGGGAGCGTTGGATAGTAAAGCCTTCCACGTATGGTGCTAAGTGAGGAAGCTTTTTGCTTACATGACGTCTGCCTGGTCCATTATATGCTGTAGAATTGATTGTACACTCTGGGATGGAACTGGGTTGGAGAGAAAACGCTTTTTCTTCATGCTGCTGCAGCAGCTTCTCGCCTTGGAGTGTAAAGGACTCTGCTAGTTCACAGTTGAAGCTTTGGTGACTACATGCAGAGTTTGAAGCACTCATAACATAGTCACTCAGTTCGCCGCGTCTGTCACTACTTGAGACAGGATTTATGTATGCATCCATATTGTATATACATAGTGTAAAGGCGTTCCACTTGCCCCTCTCCATGTTAAAGAACTCGTTTCTTATAGAGCATTTCCAAGCGACAATTGCAGCCTTATGTGGACGCATCTATGTGCCCCATGTAACAATGCAGCCGTCAGTATTTGGAGCGCTACGCGCCATTGACGTAAGGGAAAACAACATTTTAAGCAAGTGCTCTCGATTATCAACTTGATACATGTAATACTAACAAGCAAAGCAGTAAGGGGCTTGCACTGTTGATGCGCACATGAAACTAAATTGCCTAATGCAACCGCGAACACTGCTGCCAATTGGAAAAGGCAGATGCTCAGTATCTCATTATTCTCTTATGAACATGATTTCCTCGAACGGCTTGAGACCAAAGAACAAAGCTGCTCACAAATGACTTCAATGGCTAATGATTGTAAAACAAAATTAATCATGGCTCTCGCTCTCAAAGAAGAACGGTTGAGTTACAGTACACTGTGGGGATCTCAACTGAACACCACTTAATCGTGGCGGGAGGCCATGTCACCTGAGGATAGCCTGCCAGCCGGGCTTAACCAGCCGTTACTTCGCCAGAAGACTTCCCGGTTGCTTAGTTCACTGACTGGCTCAAGTACTGTCCGGCTTAACCACGATAACTCAGACAAGAGCTTGTGTGTGCACTCAAGATTAACATTTTGAAACTTATTCCTTGGCCATGTTCACCAGCTCAACGTACCGACCTCTTAGACCCAATGCCTTCTGTACGTCAACACTGTGCTGGATAAACCAAAGTACTACAGCGATTCCAACAATCGTCCCAACAAGCAGCATGACTACCATTGTAATCATCCTGTTTCGCCGTTCCCTTTCAAGATCTTCTGCCACTGGCCAGTCAGAAGCACACTCACAAACGGAAACGACACCAGTTAGCACAGGTTTTGATCCTGGTGCATCCCTGAAGCGGCACTTCGCAGAATGCAGTTTTCTCTACCAACCTACCCACACAGAAGACCGAAGAAAATTGGCTCTTCGAGCACTTCTCCTCTGCGGTGAGCTCATTAAAGTCCGTGACGCTTTCCTTGAATGTACGTGTCTCGCAGTCGAACGCCGCGAAGCCGGCCAGTGGGATAACCGCTGAATCACAAGCCTGCCGCACAAGAGGCCTATGTCAGAGTTTCCTGCTGCCTGCTTACCTTTAATTATAGACCGCAGAGCTTGTTGATTTAAGGTGAAGTTCGAATGCCGGTAGATGCTACGTGTCAAAGTACCCATGCTACTTTCTTGGCACAAAATCATCATGCTCTGATTCCAAAACAAACGCGATGCTTCTGCCTCCGCGAGTACGCATGGTCTTGTATATGTTGGGCACCTGCATGTGCGGTACTGAGAAAATGATTGGCAAAACAAAGCGCGTGACGATAGGCGTGAAGAGTACAAAAACGGATGCCTGAGTAGTGCATCACGCTTGATGTCCGCGAAGGGTGCCCTGAAAGCGCTGTGCGGAATTTTCGGCTATGGAGCTTTTAGCTCTGGCCAGACACCAAAAGCTGCAGCGACAAACATTACTCACTTGAGTATCAAAACGCGTGTCCAAGCTAAAAGTACTCATGTCCACGATGTCGCAAGTTATGTCGTCTCTCACGGCTGGGCCCTGTGTAGAGGTTGTGGTAGAGTTAAGCCTGTCAGCTCTCCACTCTTCAATGGATGGCTCTGGCTTTGGCGTTAGAGACAGAGTCACTGAGTCGTCGAACTCTTCTGAAAGGTGTTAATCGCACGTATTGGAAGACACGAAGAGGTGCGGGATTGCGCGACAGCCTAGCAGTTGCTCAACTGGCTTAATCACTCTAAGAGTGATTAAATAGCTTTTCCTGAACTGGCCTTTAAGAGAGATTGAGTAGCTTCTCCCCAGCCTCCAGTTAAGCTGATTCACAAACGTGTTCTTGGTACACAGGAAAACAAGCGCACCGCAGAGCTGTTGGAAGTCGCAAGCTTCTGCTTGCACAGTCCCTGCATCACGATTTTTGTCTGCACCTGCAGCAGTGACAGACAACACAAAGTGTTTTAAAATGTAGCAACCAATAACCAGATGTTCATGCATTCTGTGAAATGGCTCAGTTTGTCTGGTCATAAATCGTACTCGATATACTCCCCAGTCGGCACTGCTGGCCACCAGTTGTGCTGGGCTCCACAATCCGTCGTGTACGTATTCTAACACTTCCTTCCAATCCTCCTATGCTGCTGCGGCAGGTGGCGCTACAGGCTGACCACTCCCCCCATTCTGAGTATTTGCAATCTCTTGGTATGAGCTTGCAGAAAATTATTCCTCTCCCAGGGACAGAAGTATGGTTAGTGGCACATTCATTGTCAAAACCTGTAGTCTGCCGCTCTGTAGAGAAGCACGATAAGAAGTCAACCATATTTTCCTCACAACTTTGCCTGATATCAACGCATTTTGCCTTGCATTCTTCAGGGGTTAAAGTATCCGACTTGGATGTTACATTTTCACAGTTGATGTCGACGTTATCTGCAGGCACATTCCCTTGGGTGAAAAGTAGGCCATTCTTAGTTAAATTAATTACGCACAAAAGTTGAACAGGGCGCTTATGGGAAAGGAACTAGGCAAGATGGAAAATAAAGACATACATGGCGTGATAGCAGCTAGCTCTTGCTGGGCGTGAAGTCCATTAGCGCAGTACTCGTTCAACTCGGCAGAGCTTGCAAAAGTTGTGTATGTAGCAGCGTCTGTTGGCTGCGTTATACTCTTGCTATTGCTTAGGGGACAAAATATTTTCCCAGCGTTGGCCGCAGCAAAGTACAGTTTTGAGTCAGCTGTTCCAGCCATTCCTTTGCCGAAAATTGCCCCAGCTGAGTCCTGGGAGGGACAAATATTTGCTGGTATTGAGGAGAATACACTTTCGCGCATCTCATACACCTCTGCGGCTGTGCAGGGAACAGAATTGGGCGCTAGGCACAAGCACTGTGGAGAAGAAGAGCTCGGATCTAAGAAGCGGAACTGTGAAGACTCTTCATCATTCATCCGGGTGAGACTTGGAAAACATTTTGGAAGCGCCGTTTCTGAAAAAGCAGCAGAATCCATGATGAATAGAAATGTATTCCACCGTGACACACATGATAGCTGAAAACACAAATTGCTGCGGCATTGTCCGTTACTCATACCTTTGGCAAGCGTTTCCGTGTGAATGCAGCTGCCGCTCAGCAGCGATTCCTCAAGAACAGTTTCGGCAAAACATTGAAGAGGAGTCTGGTGCTTTGATTCTGCTTCTTTCGAGCACGAATCTATAATAGTTTTGCAGCGTTCTCTGCAGAACTTTTTAGTCTGTGGAATTTTATGTATAGGCAAAATATCGTCACAGCCTGTGAAAAGCACCATTCATACGGTTTGCTCTGCAGTGAAACAGCCAGCGACTTTAAGCAAAGCTGGCAAAGCGAGCCGGAATCAACTGCAGGGGTGCAAGGAATTATTTCCCAGCTGAGAAAAAAAGGCATACTAGGGTCTCGATCATTCCTGCAAGGCTCCAAGGAATCTGGGCACCCTTCACTCCGCGTATCTGCGTTCCATCATCTCATTGCAGGCACGAAGAAACCATATGAATGTCAAACATTCGTAAGGTTGAAATACCTATGACAGTGCGTATGCTTCGTCCTTACCCTGGTACACTGGGATTCCTTCGCTGGAATTCTCGTTCAGGCTCAGCCTGTAGCGCTTTGCACTTTGACCATTAAGCAAACACCTAGAACATCAACAAACATAGTGCGTGCCGGGGCTGCTTCACATTGGGGCTACTACAGTGTACTAGTCGGTGTTGGAGATAGTAAAAGTATGTGTACGTCTTACGGGGCATCACAAGAAGACCATTCCGACCACTTAACACCCTCAGTGGGAGCCGCTTGAGCGCTGCTAATTTGCAGCGCGCTGGGGGGCTCTGTTGAGCTCAGAGCATCTCGACCTGCAATAAAAAATCGCAACAGTGATGCTGCTTAGTCATTGCACTCTTCCGGGAAATGTTAACTCACTAAGTTACTTTATTTTCGAGACAGCCGGCTGCATCTGGAAAATGTAGCGTGGCTACGCAGTGCCAGGTTACGTTTCCTCTGCCTTGGGGATCAGAGTGCTTGCGAGGCATGGCTTTATGATTGGGCGCTTACAATGACAGTGCTCAAGCCCTGCAAAGCAAGTGTGTCTGCATCCTGTGTACCGACCCACCTACGCATCGCGACGCATCATATTCTTTCAAGTTAAGCGAAGCACAGGCTCCCCCAGCCTCTGCGAAAACTAGCTTTTCCCTGTAAGATGTTCTTACAGGTGAAACACCGAATTCGAGTAGCATCTCGGTGCAGGCTGACCATTCTGTCCATTCGGAGTGAATGCAGAACGACTCGCAAGGCGTAGGTGTATCGAGCACACATGTCACTGCCTCCTCCAAAATACAAGGAGCACCATTGCCTCTGGCGGGCAATAATTCAGGCCTCTGACGCTTTCTCAATGGACGTGGCGCATTTGGACTAACAGGTAGCAAAAACGTTGAAAAGAAACGCAGCAAAATGACGAACTTTTGAGCTAGCTTCTCGTCTCGCACTGTGAAGTTGTCTGCTTTTCTGGCTGATTTATTTAATTGTTAAAGACTTTACACGTTAACTGGGAAACGCTGCTATCTTACTCTGATGGCATACAAGTGGCTGAACACTCTGACCACTCTTCCCAATCTCCTGGAAGGCAATCAGCATTTTCGGGCCAATCCCAAGTCGGTGCAGCAGTTGTAGTAGTGGTCGTTAATGAAGCAGCTGCACCGGCAGCTCACAAAGTCCCAAATATAATTTTGCTGGTGTAGTGAGGATTAGAATACAAGAAGTTGCATGAGTCGATTAAGCTGCGTCACTATTAGTCACACGAATCTAAACGCCTTCTGAATGGATTTCGTTTCGGGATTGGGTTACATGGGCAAAACACAAGGGGAGTCTCCACAACGCATTGGTTGTAGCCGCTCCTGTGGACTGTTTCGCCAAAAGCAACGTCGTCTACTGAATATAGGGGCATCTCCCTTTGTTTCCATTGGAGGTTCGAAGTGGAAGTGCAGATATCAGTTGCCGCCTGTACAAAGCCCCAGGCTACAGGCTGTACGGTTTCCCAGCTGGTACATAAGTCTCCTGGAAGAACGAAGACACACGCAACTAATTCACTGTCAGTAAAAACCACTCAAATCCCTGTTCCCAGTAGCTGGCTCCCTTTCCGCTAAGCAGGCAGCTACTGTTCTGCCTTGCAAGATATGATGTGGCACTGAGCCTCGGCTGCTGACCCCATGGAGACACGTCTTTGGTCCAGTAGGTCCTGTCCTGTTCAACCTGTTGAGTTGTACAGGGCTTGAATCCCTGGGGGCACGAACAGCTCATGGCCTCAGCATTCCATCCCAAGTTAGCAGCATACTCAGCGTTGGTCATGTCAATTACCCTGCAGTTGAGGCTCTCTGAGCACACAAAGCATTGCGTTGGCGCCTAATCCGTCTGAAATTAGTGAAAAAACTTTTAGTTGCAGCCAGTAGTGAGTTCTGAATAGTTTGCTTTTCAAAGGCGATGAATGAAATGAGGTCTTACCTCCAGCAGGAGGAGCAGTCGTCGATGTTGTGGTAGTGTGCAAGGTTTCGACGTCTGTAGCTCACACATATAGAGCATTTGCCTTATTTACAGCGGTAGAACGACGCTTCCGCTCCTGCTGACCCTAGCTATCACTATAGTAGTCATTCCTCTTTGATATTTCCCTCTTCTGAAGACCCGGTGAAACTTTGGATTGTGACCCTAGAAAGGCCGCTTACATGATGCGACGTAGCACTTTTCTTTAAGTTCTGCTGAAGCAAGGACCAGAAAGCAGTTCCAAATATTTGGAGGAGAGCATAAACTAGATACTGCTGTGCATTGTTGGACGCATTCTGCGTCTGTAGCAGCGCCCTGAGCACCACACAGGCAGAACGACAAGGGGTTTTCTCGTGTCGTGGAGGAGCTCGCATGCTATGAGACCCGTCATGTACGGCGAAATCCAATATTTCTGGTGGCTATGAAGTTCAATTTCATCGACGTGCCACTCAAATGGGTGAGGGGTCATAGATTAGTTATGAAGACAAGCGTACATTCTTTGCCTTCGCCTCGGCGCATAAGGGTAAAAAGTCTGAGCAGACAGCGCAAAGGAAAGTAAAAGTTTGCATAACTCTTTGGAAAAGATTTCTGAAGGAAAATGATCGTACCCAGGGGCTGAAAAAAGCACGATTTCGCAGATATGCTAGGGCCTTATCTGTAAGCAGACAGAACTTGGTTACCTGGAATGGTTTCTGCGGCTGGAGGAAGTCCTGCAAGCAGTGCACGGACCACAAAACCGGCAGAAGGCAGCTTCCAACTCCCAAAGCCTGCCTTTGGGTAGATCATGGAGGGATGGCTGTTTGCTGTAGCTGCAGCTGGCGGCTTACAGAAGCCTCTGCTTACGGTTTTCGACATGAAGAGCCACAAGCCTCATGCTTGAAGATCTATCCAAGAATTCTTTAAACACAAAGTTGGTGCACGAATCGTGAGAGACAACGAAAATTTTGGGGATCCACTGAGCGATGCTGAAGCTAGATATGGAGTCTTGCACAAGCACGGTTTCGATCTGACTCGCCGGCGTTACCACTAAGGAGCCAAAAATCAATGGAGGGCGAGATGCGAACAGTTCGGTAGAATACTCAATACGTCTAAAGCCACCGGAAGTAATGTCGAATGACTTTGTCTGTAGGCAAGGAGCACAGAGGTGCGCAATGTGCAATACAAGATTAGGAGTTGCCATCCAGCAGAATGCTGACAACTACTTTGCGAGGTGTTCAGACATGAAACCGTAACCAAAGAGTTGCCTCAAATGAGATAAAATGAGAAATCAAGCAGTTTTTTCGCTTGGAGTTATGAAAACGTCTCCGTGCCGGTGTATTTTCGGTGTGCGAGATGCTTTCGGAGTACTAGGGAGCAGCGTGGCCGGTTCGTATTTTAGTTCTCACCTCGATTGACAACTTGTTTGTTTTGCAGCCAGAAGAGCACTGAGAATTGGGGACCGAGTCCATAAAAAGGTAGCCGACTGTGTACTCGACCTGGCTTGCGGATGTAGAAGTGCTGTGAATGGTAATGGTTGCTGACGAGGAGTCAAGATGTGAAAGTGCAATCCAAGGAATATCTGTCATAGAGAGATCGGCGGGAATATTCTGAATCTGCGTCAGGACGACGGGCTGCAGCATGTGCCACATGCACAGAAGATTGTGACGTCTGACGTGTAGTGCAGATGGCGTTTGTTTTGATCACTGCAGCAGCTGCGGAGATTTTCCCCATTCTCCTTGGTACGGCAGACAAGCCCAAGAGCTTCTACCCACATCTGAAGAGCGCAGCTGGACCCCTGGAAGAAGATCAACCTCCTGTCCGACTGTTGTTACAGTGGTAGCGACGCGGAGCGCTGAACCAGCGTTCGGGATTGTGAAACTATCTTCTGACATGGCAATCCAGCTCACTTCAGAAGATGCCGTCGCGTAGCCTGAGAGTCGAATTTTCCCATGCATATACGAAAGAATAAAAACCGTGAATCAACATTCTGGATACTCCAAATATCCCACACAACAAATTTGTCAGCATGTAAGCCAAACTGCATAACGCGATGCAGCACCGGTATGCGCGCCCACCCAGTCTGCAGTAGTCCAATGCTAGGCGAATCATGAAGCCTGTTTCTGATACGTCCGTAACTTGTACCTGCCCAAATGTATTAAGTGGCCTTAGGAGGCCTGCAGAGAAGACAGGCAAAGTTTCTACCTAAAGAAATGATTAGATACCATTTGAAGGCTGGCAACTGTCAAGCTTAATTTTGGTAGTGTCAGTGGTCCAGGATCCATGAATCGTTGAGCTTCTGGAGCGATGCACGGCGTACCTGTAAATACAACTGGATGCGGCGAAACGCTAGACGGAAAAGTCACGCTTTTCCACTGGGTTGTTACCGTCACAACGCCAGTAATCATATTCGAATCTGCCAAGAGAAAACCAAGCAGCGACTTCGAAAAATTATACGTTTCAACAATCGCGTCA